GATTAGAAGGCATTTTGACGTCCACCACGTGCACTCACGTGTCGAAACTTTCCTACAATCGTGTCTAATGCACAATATGTAAAGTATAGCAAGCTTATTCAATGGCAGTAGGCTGATACCTATCGAACGAACGAGCGCAATGGTTCCTTACGTTTTGACTTCTTGTGACTTGGAGATAGTCCGAAGGTGATCAATACCTACTTGTCTTGAATAACGAAGCAATGCATTTTACTGTGCTTACATCCTATACCAATCCGGCTAGCACGGCGGTGATCGACGCGATGCTTGCTGGATATATCAGGTTTGTGCTGCTACTTCCATGTTGGATTAGTGATGAGGACCACATCTTAAGAACGGTGGGATGACGTAAGTGTACCGAAGGTCTACGGCATGGCACGATTACACCGTGATCAATAGCCCGTGGACCAATGGGGTTATGGAGCGGGCACATGACGGTATTATTCAAAATCTTCGTGTGCTTTACCTAGCGTACAAGGTAGGCATACATGACTGGACATTTTTCGTACACGGTATCCTTGTTGGGTAATCACAGGGCACAGCAGAAATTGAAATGCCGAGATGGTAAAGCATAAAGTTATAAAACCACCGTTCCAATATAGCCAACTTTAGCTATATTGAACCAGAAGTCTGAAGAAATATATTGGTCCGATTGCAATACTTTCCTGAACAATTCAGTACGTAATTGCAGAAAACTGCACTACACATTGTGGCCGTCGGTGATATTGCAAAATTGTGTTTCAGAACGAAGCGTAATACATAATATGCTCTTAATGACAATATCGTGGGAACTACCAGAGCCACTAGACAAAAATGCTAACCCTACTAGACAGTACCAAAAAATGTGGCACACGTGTTAGTAGTAGTAGACATAAATAGATTACCATAAAACATTTAATTTAATTTCGCAAAATTTATCTCTAGCCTCTACAAGTGACGTCGACCGTATCCCACTTAAAAACTGTATTGATTGAATATCTCTTCTTCAGCATCAACGCCACGAGTATGTAAATGTTCGAGTACTTCATCAGGCCCTAGGATCTATGAATACAGGAGCTGTAAGTAAGCAGCTGTGGCCTAATGGAATTCTGGACGCTGTTGCGTCCGATCTTTCGAAGGATGACAAAAGTCTTGGTGTTCCAGAGATTCCAAGTCCTTTCTTGTGTGCTTACCATTATTTTTTTGTTGTTCGCGCATCGTGTTTTGATGTCAGGCTCAAATACCATTGCACAAGGTGGTTCGGGCTTTGTAAATCTATCAATCGTCCAATGAGCGTGAAAATCGGATTTTTGTAGAGACTTTCCCTCCTGTTGAAGCTGTAGAAGGCGGTGAGGGCACTACAACCCTGTCGAATGGGTGAACATTTTGCTGCATACGTTAGTGATGGGCCAAGTAGCACTGTCCAAGCATCCGAGTAAAGAGTACCGATATATGGTTTTAACGACATCAGCGAAAAGAGGTCCACGTGGAGCCCTGACACTTTCATCCGATACAGCATCTCGATGATCGTTAATGGAATTTTGCAAACACAATTGCATTGCGTTATACATTTTAAGTAAGTCACCTCTGGATAATAACCAACCTTTTAGGGCTGCGTGGTAACCCTCAACGCGTGAAGTTGCATATATATCGATGTGAGAATGGCGATCGGCCCAGGAACGCACGAAACGCACCTTCCACACGTCTAACCACACCCTGTCTTCATACTGTGTCTCTCTTGGCCTTTGCTGATGCAGTTGTTATTGAAATATTTCATATTCATCTGCTGTTGATGCTTGAGTAAGTAATCGAAAGGTTTCACAAAATTTTGTCGATCTTAACTGAATCTTCAACTTTGTTTTTCCTCCGTTCTTTTAGATTGTTTTTTTAAGACGAGATATTGTGGACTGCACCTATTTGATCTTCGAATCGAACGGCAACAATACCGATTGGCCTGAGGCGATCGGCCTCATTTTTGGTATTAGAAGGCCTGGGTTATGTAGTGTCGGCTCGGGGATTTCTAATCTCACAAAATCGCTGGGTTTGAGTATTTGCTGTAAGAGTGTCGTCACTTTGAGTTTTGCGAGCATGTTTTCTAACATCCATGAGAATATGCCAACACACAATATAACAGGAACTCCGGGAAAAACAGTTTCCAACGCATTCATCAAAGCGGTATCACAGTCTGCTATATTCACCTGAGGATACGAAATCTCCTCAAGG